AGGGAAGAAAGAGCCGCCGCCGCCGCCGCCGGCTGCTGCGGCAGAGGAGGAGAAGGAGAAGAAGGATGGAGGTGGCGGCGACGGAGGCGAGGGGGAGAAGAAAGAGGGAGAGAAGAAGGAGAGCGAGAAGGCGGCCGAGAATCCACCGCCTCCGCCACCGCCGCCGCCGGAGGAAGTGGTGATGAAGGTCTACATGCATTGCGAGGGGTGTGCCAGGAAGGTGCGCCGATGCCTCAGAGGCTTCCAAGGTACCAAGATGTCGATACAAAAGCATGATCTTTTAAGTTAAATTGCTCCTAAAAATGGATCTTTTTTTGGTGCTTCGTCTGGATTGGAAGGCGTGGAGGAGGTGGTGGCGGACAGCCGGACGCACCGGGTGGTGGTGAAGGGGAGGAAGGCGGCGGAGGATCCCATGAAGGTGGTGGAGAGGGTGCAGAAGAAGAGCGGGCGGAAAGTGGAGCTGCTGAGTCCCATTCCACCTGCGAAACCGGAAAAGGAGGAGAAGAAAGAGGAGAAGCCCAAGGCAGAGGAGAAGAAAGAGGTGAAGCAATCACATCACTCACCACTCTTCTTCTTCTTCTTCTTCTTCCTCCTCCTCCTGGTCTCATCTCATCTTGTGCGCCGCAGCCGCAGGTGATCATTGTCGTGCTCAGAGTCTACATGCATTGCGAGGCCTGCGCCCAAGAGATCAAGAAAAGGATCCTAAGAATGAAAGGTTACTCCTTTACATCATTTCCCCATTTGAACTCGGAACCATGCAAGACTTGTTCTTGCAAGGATCAAAGCTCGCGTCTTTCTAACAATTGTAGATGATTCGATCTGTTGATGGATTCTGAATCGCATGACATTGATCTAAATTTCTAGTTCTTGTTCCACGAGCTCGCACCTTCTCATTTGGGTTTGCGGAAACAGGGGTGCAGACGGCGGAACCGGACCTGAAGAGCTTGGAGGTCACGGTGAAAGGCGCGTTCGACCCGGCGAGCCTGGTGGCGTACGTGCACAAGCGGACGGGAAAGCACGCGGCGGTGGTGAAGCAGGAGCCGGTGGAGAAGAAGCCGGAGGAGCCAGAGAAGGCCAAGGCCGAGGAGCCGCCACCAGCTGAGGCGGCGGGAAAGGACGAGAAGAAGTCCAGTGGTGGAGAGAAGAACGAGAAGGAGAAGAAGGGTGGGGAGAACAAGGAGGAAGAGAAGAAGAAGGAGGAGGGCGGAGGGGAGGACTCGAAGAAGGACGGCACCGTCGCAGCGGAGCAGAAGAACGGGGACAAGAAGAAGGAGGAGCAGGAGGAGAAGAAGGAGGCCAACGGCGGCGGCGGAGGAGTAGGGCAAGGGGCGACGGAGGTTCCGGCTGCCGTCGTGGCCGTGGCGGCGACGGCGATCGACGGCGGCGGAGCGGGTAAGCCGAAGAGGAACGAGTTCTATTACTACTACCCGCGCTACCCCGTGGAGTACGCTTACCCGCCGCAGATCTTTAGCGACGAGAATCCTAATGCATGCGCTGTCATGTGATCAAAGGTTTGTGGATGGGGAAGCATAACATTCCATGTGTATTTTTCTTCTCCATTCCCCTATGAAAAATATATATATTATATAAATATTCCTAATAAGATGTTGTCATCTCTAATATTGTTCTCTTTATTTCTCTAGAAACACCCTACTTTGGTTATATATATATATATATATATATATATATATATATATAATAGTACGT